GGGGTGGGACTAGATGACCCACAGAGGTCCCTTCCAACCCCTACTATTCTGTGATTCTGTGATTCTGTGATTCTGTGATCACTAATCACCTCACCAAAAGTGAGTCACTGAAGTCAGGCCCTGTGCATACTTATTTCTACAGCATCCACAAGATTCTGTTTCTCTGATAAATATTAATCTTCTGAAGTGTCAGATATTCATCCAGTGCTTACCACTTCCCACAGGTGAGCTCAATGTGAAAATTTAAGATCAGTCTACATAACTGTATGGGCATTTTGTGCCAAAGAATTTTTAAGTACTGCTATTTCTCATGAGGCTAATTGTGATTTTGTAAGTTATTGGTACCAATAGTGAAGTCCATTCCACATTTTTTTTCTAATCTTCTTCAAGAGAATCAAAGGGGAGAAATTGATTTTATTGGATTTTTTATTTGAAATAGGAAATGGAAAGTTATAAGGTGCAGGAGTGATAAAAAAATGGTAAAGGTCGGAGCTGCAACAGCATGGAAACCCCCAGGGACAAACAACAAATGCAATAAAGGAACTACAGGACCAGAATGTGAGCTCTGAAAATTCAATTTCTTTTCCATAAGAACGGAGGTTTCAGAGGCCATGCGTGGTTTCAGCCATGCTCTTAGACAGGCAACCTTTTAACATTTGCTTGACTAAATGTAAAAGCATTATATTATAAAAAAAAAAAAAAAAAAAAAAAAAGCCGTTATCCTGGACAGTAGCATAATAAGGTATTTCTACATATGAAGAAAATATTCAAAAACATAAGCTTCTCTTGGGAAAGTTTTTTTTGTTTTCACTGCTCAACTTTTTCTCTGCTTTTTTCAATAACTGTTTTCCAAGTGTTTTTAGTTACTTTCTATTCTTATCCACTCATTTTACATTCCAGGTGTTTATACCTATTTTTTATTATTAATAGATTATTTACTATAGCACCTCAAAACCATTAGCATACAACTAACAGGAACAAAAAAAGACATAGGAATGAACAATAAAATTGCCTAATTACAAGTACATTTGCCAAAAAAGACTGAGGCAGTTTAAGTGCTAATTTTGGCCTGTAAAACAAAGAAAAGTTACTTGCAGAAAGTTATTGTATGTTTCTAAGCAGAGCCTTCGATAGTGTCAAGTTAGAAAATTACGTAAGCGTAGATTATGTATCATCTATCACCACAATGTAAAGATTCCACTTCTCTGTTCCCAGTGAACAGATTCCTCCCTGAAATCAATGAAAAGGTGAAAAGACACATATAGCATCTCAGGCAACTGAACTGAATTCTATTGCACAAATCAGAATTTTGACCGTAAAGTTAATGTCTTTTTAGAGATAGGCTTCCCACATAATTTCTCTTTTGATGTCAATTTGTTCAGCCTTATCTTCAAAATCAGCTAAGGCACCTTCTGATTCTTGATGACACGCAAGCTATCACATGCTGAAGACAACAACCTTCTCTGAGGAGAACAAGAAACGAGGAAACAAACAGAAGTAAGCACACCAAAAATCCAAAATGCTTTATGCCTCCCAGCTTCCTGTAATCTTCAGAGTAAAACTATGCAGTTGTTTAAAAGAACTAAAATGGACCTGATATATTTACTTTCTATCAAAAAAACTAAAAGGGCAAGAGGGATGTTCTGCTCAAAATGAAGCAATGGATGCTTTCATGGGCCCAACAGGAGACGAGACATAAAGCATCGCTCCATTCTTCCCCTCCATCTACCCTGCACATCAGCGATCACATAATCAGTGTTTGGCAAAATACATTCCTGTCTTCTGCCTTCCTCCTGCTCCCCAAATTGAAGTTACAATTCCAGTCCTGGGTATTCCACAAAGACTTCCTATTTTTCTAGATTGTGGCATTTTTATATCACTCTTAAGTGCTTCTACAAGCTCTGCGAGTACAGAGGGAGCAGAATGGCAACTAACTGGTGCAGGTCTCGACGAACAGTACAGGGACGAAAGGCTGCTCTGAAAGGATCCCCTTGTGTGTCCTTATAGCAGCATGAAACCAGTTGTTTAGCATACACCTCTTAAAGAGCTGCATCGACCAGAAATGCTGCATAAACCAAATGGTGTGTATCAGTGATGTGTATCTATTCAGAAGGACAAAAGATTTAGTTAAATTAGATAAGATCTGATTTTGTTCATCATTCGTGTGAATTTGGTTCAAGGTCAAAAAAAGAGAAAAAAGCTGGTATAACATTTGAGAAGCTGTCAAGAATCCTACTGATTATTTTCAGCTCTATAATTTCTTTCAGCTCTAGTAAGAAAGCTAAAGTTGCCTGCAAAACCTTTTCCCCCAGAGCATTCTCAACTTATTTGCTACTATAAGGAGTCACTGAAAAGCCTGTATAGAAATCTGCTGCATTCTATTTCTTCCCCATGGAAGCCACCAGTAGGCAGTGAAACTAAATATCCTAACCTCTACATTAAATGTGTGCTTTTTACGATATACAATTTAAAAGACAGTTAATGTGGGACATACTGTGATGGGCAGTTAAGCTATTTAAGCCTGAAGTAATTTTCTAACTAATTTGTATGGTAACAGTAGAGCCAGAAGGGTGCAGAAAGCTTTACCATGCACACAGTTCTCATCTGATGAGTTCATACCAACCCATAAAGAAAAAACAGAGCTTATCACAGCCACGTTTATTATAAATCCAGATGCTGCACTCCCATGAGATAACAGAAAAATAGGTACTGTAAAAGATGAATGTACATGATGAAGGCTAAAATTCAAAAGCTCAAAACCAGCCCCAAGGCGATGAAAGGAGGGGCCGGCAATAATAAACACTGTGACAAAGTTAGCATATTAAATGCTGCTGAATCTTCTTCTGTGGCCTATATATACCTCAGAAAAATTAAAAAATACACCTAGGAAAGAATTTTCAGTTGCACTCCAATAATGTTTTACTGTCCTGTGTTTATTTATTACAGTTTTGCTTCCAAATCTCGTAATGGAAAACCCTACCGTTTTCTTTTTTTGTAAACCAGTTCATTTTTCATATTTAAGCATGTCTGGTGTGTCCTGGGTTTGGCCAGGACAGGGTTAATTTTCACCAGAATCCAGGAAGGGGCACAGCCGGGCAGGCTGACCCAACCCCGACCTGGCCAAACAGAGCCGGGTATTTCATACCATGTGCCGTCATGCTGGGTTCTGGTGGGGGGGCGGCATGGCGGGACCTCACTCGCGTCTCGGGAGCGCGGGCGCCGGTCTGGGAGAGTGGCTCTCTGGGTTGTGCAGTTCGTGTTGTGTTTTCTCCTTATCTATATCGTTGTTGTTCCTGTTCCCTCTGTTTGCTGTTCTGTTAAACTGCCCTTATCCCAACCCACCGGTTTCTGCCTGCTTCTTTTCATTCTCCTCTGCACCCCGGCGGGGGGAGGGGCAGCCGCGTGGTGCTTTTGTTGCCGGCTGCTGCCAAACCAGAACATGGTGCCAAGACTTATTGCAGATAACCAGAGCACAACATTTGCCCAAAAGCGAAACATTCAGATTAAAAAGGTCTGACACAGGACAAGTTTGGGAGAATCAGGAGCTGAGATCTTTTTCTCGCCAAGATACAAGCATTTGCCAAGCGCTGGCTATTAAGGAAAATTTTTATTAGACCAACATCAAAGCTCCTTTGATAAAGAACATCTTTTGCTTCAAGTAATCTGCGTCACAGCAATTTTATGTTATTTAACTCTACTGCTGCATTACCTAGTGTCTCAAAACCAGCGCTGAACTCATGTACGCTGAGAGACGGTCCTCTCTGCAAAGAGCTAACACTGCTGAAGCAAGTTTTGTGTGCAGTGCGGGAGGGAAAGCTGGGGTTCCTATGATGCCTGCCATCGCTCAGATTTGGTAAGCTCGCTATGAACTCACTTTGGATACCTACAAGGTCTCCTTCAGCGTGACACCTCATTTTCACAAGTATTGTATATTTACCCATAAGGTATTAATATTACTGATAAAGTCACAGGAATCATAGAATCACAGAATCATAGAAAGTTTTGGGTTGGAAGGGACCCCTAGAGGTCATCTAGTCCAACCCCCCTGCAGCGAGCAGGGACACCACTAACTAGATTAGGTTGCTCAGAGCCCTGTCCAACCTGGTCTTGAATGTTTCCAGGGATGGGGCCTCCACTACTTCTCTGGGCAACCCGTTCCAGTGTTTCACCACCCTCATTGTAAAGAATTCCTTCCTATATCCAGCCTAAACCTACCCTGTTTTAGTTTAAAACCATTACCCCTCGTCCTGTCACTGCTGTCTCTCCTAAAAAGATTGTCCCCATCTTTCCTATAGGCTCCCTTTAAGTACTGAAAGGAGCTGTTTTGTTAGATCAGAACTGTACTCTAGACCAGTATCCTGTCCAGCAGCGATCAGGGACCTCTGTTTCAGCAAAAGAAGTTCCCCATTGCAAATTCTGTTTCCTGTCTTTGGAAAAACAAGTCACATTAACTAAGTTAGTGCTTCAACATCTTCCACTCTCCTCCTCAGGTTCACTTGCGCAATGATACTGCTGGCAAGTAGCCTGCTGATGCTGCACGTGGTTTGTTAATTCTTCGATACGATGGTCACTTAAAAAAAGCCCTCTCAAAGTCTTTTAGTGGTGCAGCCAGATACCTGATGAAACTTCTCTATTAAAAATATAATAGCAAGTAATTTCAAAAAGGTACCTTCCTCTGAGCTTTATGACAAGCTTTGCTGTGCTACAGTCTCTGTAAGGGTATGTGGAACGTGAGAGCATTCGGTTCATTAAGTCATCTGATTAAGGATTATTCAGTATAAAAGAAATAAGAAATGTGATATATTAAACACACACAGACACAGAAAAATTGCTGAATGAGCAGGTGGTAACAAAGACAACAGTGAAGAGCTGAACTCTTTGGGCCATTAAAGGAGCTACCGAGCAAGCCACTGTGAAGACAACCAACCTGAGCTTTGTCACTGGTAGGATGGGGGGAACACGATTATCATGAGTTTCACACCGTATCTGAGGGCGTGTATGGGACTGTGCAAGACTTTTCATGGGGTATCAGCAGGGGCTTTGTGGGATTATGCAAACCTTATGGGCGGATGTTCACAGCATTGGCCAAAGGCGAGGAAAGGAAGGCGCAGGGTGGATCTAGGGGGTCATGTAGGAAAATGGGGAGGAGGGGGGCTCACAGCGAGCAGGCAGCGGTCAACTTCATTGTTGGTACTTACATTGTATATGTCCTCTGTGTGAGTTTGTGCGCGTGTGTACACTTGTCCAGGACACACGCGAGCCCAAGACCCCTCCCAGGTCTGAAGAGCGTACCTGGATGGACTTCAGCAGCCAGGAGCAGCAACTCCCCGGTCCTGGAGGTAACT